TTTTTTTTATTTTTATTTTTTTAACTATATATAAATTTTATAAATTATAAAATAACTATTATTATATAGCACGTGGGGACTGGAAGATGATCTATTAGCTAGTTTAGAACCCAAATGTTACATACTAAAAACTAAAAAAACGAAAAATTTTGCATGAATCGTTTCTCTCGAGTGTCAAAAGACTACGTACCTTTAAAAATAATCTCTAATAATCTCTAATTTACGTAGTGTTAGTTTAGAAACGACTTTTTGAAATGGCAAAGAAAAAAAAAAGGTGATATTAAAGTATTTTTTCAAAACAGAAAGTTTCGTTTAAGAACTTCATTATGATAGATTTAAAATAAACTTTGCTTAATTTGAATAGGTACAAGTTCTTTAGCAGTTTCTAAATATGCGATTAATTTTTTTGCGTATATTTATTAGTTGGTAAATCGGACCGAAGCATTAAGATTAGGAATAATTGAAAATTGTAGTTTTATCCAATATTATTTAGTTTGTGATTTATATATCTATTTTATTAAACAAAAACCACCTTGCCAATACTAAATAAAAACTTAATAAATATAAATACAAATCATAGATTTATATAGCCATATAAAAATACTACTCTTAATCAAATTGAAACATCATATTGATAGATAAAAGGGTAAAAAATTAATAACAATAATTAATGCTTGTTGCCTACTCAATTTATCTTTAAATCTTATTCTTGTTAATAAATAAATAAATAAATAAACTATATATAAAACTTAAGCTGTACAACAATTTAAATTATAAGTGGTTGCTGTAAAAATAGTTACATATAATCATACTCGAATTGGTAGAGTTGGTGTTAGTGTTAAGAAACTCAAGAACAATTTAAAGTCCCGATTTCAAAGTAGACATGGTATCGAAGAATCAAAAGGCAATATTGCTATAAACGCTTGGATACCACAAGCCAGTTATTCTATTAGTAACTTTCCTGGCACCTCTAGCCCCAAATTTCGAGAATCTAAAGGATCGATAAGCCTGACTTTCGTGATTTGTATTTATACTAAAAACCAAAATTGAGAGAGCTCTTACTCTTTCATTCCACTTGAGATTTCTGTTCTTAATAAGCCCCATTTAGGGCAACGGCCAGATCCTTAAATGCACCAGTTCAGCTAGATCGATTCCAATTCCAGAAGCATTAATATCAAAGAGCATGTATTAATCGTGGTTTACATATCTAGCATCTGTTTTTTATTTTTATATGTTAGCACTTCGTTAATATTTATTCATCTGCCCCTTAAAACCATATATACCTGTTCAGATGCAATCAAGAAAAAGGTGTTCCAAGCTTTGTATTACTATCAACTCAGGGCAGGAATTGTGGCAAGTGTTCATATATAATCTTCCCCAGTATCACCTTCAAACCAAAGCAGGGATGTCACAGGACAGCCTTTGGACAAAAGGTATCTTGGACATTTTTAAATAGTAAAGTTGCTCAAAATTTTATTATGATAACCTATTTCAATTTTCTAAGTAAAAATGTTTAGAATTAAATAAAATATATAATCATGTTTTTTTAAAATAGATTTTTTAATTATCAAAGCTTAAATGAGCTTTGGACACTTGGACGTTTGGACATGTCAAAAAAGGTTTTTGGACATCAATAAATTAGTTACCCAGGCAAATGATTTACACCAGCCAATTGGGCAGCATTATACGTACATCGATCATATCTTGATCGGTGATCGAAATTCTAGCAGGCATCGTTCCAAATGACGTTGGAATTAGAAGACCATGATTTATCGCTTTTTAAGGTTTTATCTAACATTAATCCTTATTTACATGTTCAAAATATTATTCTAATTAAAATTTATAAATTATATACGTATATACTAAGGAACCCGAAGAATTTCGACCTCCTTCACCAAAAGAAACTTTTGAAAAATTTGAGCGTAAAGCAGCTCACATTTCATCTGGTATCCGTTGTTTATCAATTTATTGGTGAATCTATTTATTAATAGTTATACTTATCATCTGTTCTATATGCAAATATAAGAAAATACGGATGATCCACAAACTTTTAATATACGTTTAGTTGGTTTTCATCCATTATGGGCACATCAGCTATGGAATGCGAGTAAATGCGTTGCGTGGTATTTAGATGAACATAAAGAACTTATTTCGAATAAAAATGTTTTAGAGCTTGGAGCCGGTGGTGCACTGCCTTCACTTATTTCATTTTTGAATGGCGCGAAAAAGGTTTGTATAAGCCTGATTTGGGGATAATATTGATTCGCATGATTGTGATGTCTTATTAAGTATTTCTTTTTAGGTGGTCATAACAGATTATCCTGATGAAAATTTGATAGAAAACATAGAATATAATGTGATGTTAAATCTATCTTCAAAAGGTGGCTGTAATATTGATAATATTAAAGTTTTGGTAAAATTTTTTAAATTCAATTATCTTCATATACTCTATATACTTATTAATCAATCTTGATGTTAGGGATACATTTGGGGTAAAAATACAGGCCCGCTACTAGACGCAATTTCTTCACAACAAAATTCGCAATCTATAACTAAAAGATCATATTATGACCTAATTATTCTATCCGACTTAATATTTAATCACTCTCAACATTCTGCGTTATTGAAAACGTGTGAAGAATGTTTAGACATTGAGAATGGACAAGTGCTTGTGTTTTTTACGCACCATCGCCCATCGCTTGCATACAAGGATATGGAATTTTTTGAGAAAGCAAAGGCGAATGGTTTATTTAGAGTTGAAAAGATCTTTGAAACTGTGATGAAACCGATGTTTGAGAATGACAGTGGGTGTGATATTATTAGATCAACCATTCATGGATATATAATGACGCGTCAGAAAATAAATAACGACATCGTCTAGATTTTTCATATTAAAAGCAACAGTTGGCAAACCCAAATTTATTTGTGACATAGCTAATTTAATAAAAAATTCTTGATTTTTTTATGATTTTTCGTAACTTTACACAACCCATATTATATTAAAAATTAAATCAATATTTAATAAGGTTTGTAAGACAAATTTTATAGTAGATTTATAAAAGATGGATGGCGCTCCGGTGAAAAATAGACATATGCACTAAATTTTTATTACTATATTGTGCTATAAGTATATTTTTATTAATCACTACATAAGGTAAGAGGGTTATTATGGTGGTTTAAAATCTATTTTATTTAAACTCTATAACAGCAAATTAACTTGCATTTGCATACGTTTATTAATGTTAAACAGTTTTATCGTTTGGGAAATAAAGTGATGGATCGACAAATCGATAAAATTAAAGTATCTATTCGTTTCGTTCTATATGAATAAAAAGGTCATTTATATGATTATTGGTAATCCAGTTATTAAAAACGAACGTTTTTATCCTCGATTCATTTTTGTGAGACAAATTGAATGGTATAATAATCATTAGACTCTATTTGACAGACTTCTTCAATATTATCTGTCACTGTCGTATTACCCCTTTTTACCTTATAAAAGCCAAAATTTATTAAATAAATCAATATTAGTATATTAACAGTTAAGTAAAGTTATTCAGAAGATTCAGAAGATTAATATATATATATATTCTAAAAGTTTGATATGAATTAAATAACTTTTCATTAATATTTTTTATTTTTTTATGCATTACAATATTGAAACCAGGTTTTAAACTTTGGTTTTGAACAAAACCGGGTTTAACTTAGGTTTGAAGCTTATTATATAAAAACAGTTCTTAGGATTTTAATTTGCTTTTAGAACCCAAACCAAGTTAACTTTACATCCCTATCTACGATCAACTTTGATCGCATCAAAAGCCTCTCGTTCTTTTTCTTCTTCTACAACATTATCTATATGGGGTGAAAGATACCTTACATCCTTGAGTTATATTAAAAATGTGATTAAATATTAATGTTATTCTTTCTAAACCTTATAAGAATGAATTGAATAATAAACCTACTTCTTCGGGCTTTGTCCATTTGTCTTTTGGTAAAATGTCATGTTGTACAGTTAACTGAAAAGCTGTTCGAATTCGATAAGTTCTAAGATCCTGTTCTTTGGGAGATATACGTCTTAACGCCTCTTTATCTATATCACTGTCGTCACCTATGATATCATCATACCTTAAACCTAATAAATACGTTTTAAATAAAATTTTACTTATTTTCATCGAGAATGTTAATAAATCCACACATAATAAAGATGCATACCAAGTTGCCTATATCCAACAAAATTAGCATAATAGTTAGCAACTGGTTTCAATAGACCATAAAGAAAGCGACTGTTTTTGACAGTGTTATAAAGTGTTGGATAGGACATTTTAACGAAAAATAAATCGCGTTTAGATCTTGTGTCGTTTTCAAACTTATCGTTATCGTGTAACTTATTTGATATGTTCTATTGGTCTGGATGTCCTATTTCTGATTGGACGAAAATTCTGATTACTTGAATTACATGGTATTGTGACGAATGGGGGTTCGGTATTGTGACATTGTGACGAACTATTAATTTTTTGACTTCCCGCTAATAAAATAATAATAAAATACCAAATTATATAAAATACCGAAGAACTTAAATTATTTAGCTTAAAAAAAATGTTACTAACTTTAATCATGCTTAGAAATAATATCTAAATAATCTTACACGTTTAATTGTTGCGCATTTAAACCCTTCTTTTAGAGCTTGTATTACTTGAACATAATATTCAACATAATAATAAAAGCTATAAAAAAATGGTTTGTTAGTTACATTGTATACATCACGTTTACACAGTTATCAAGTCTCTTTTACAACGTTCGTTAGTTTTATTATTTTTTTATACGCGCATAAATCTAGACTTACTAATTGTGCTACATTTAAGATTAATTACTAAACCGGGCCTTCACAAATTCATTTTATCATTTGCATATTTACATTCGAGTGTTGCCAAGTGAAAATGGAACTCCGGGCTTTCAATCATATTTTGTGCCGGACACAATCCATCAAATTTATTAAACCAATTTTCCCTTGGTGGCCTCATTTATTAACACATTTCATTTATTTATTCATTAAATTTTTTTAAATTAATCACGCATATTTTATTTTATTTTTTTTTAAATTATTTATTAAATTAATCCCATATTTTATACTTTTCTTTGTCAAACTAATCATGAATTTTTGTTTTAATTAAAGAAATTACTTCAGCATGCCACAAGTTTCTTATATTAATTGACAAGATAAAATTTCTGCTGCTCTTAATGAACTAAATAACTTTACTAACCCAAACACCCAAGTATCAATAGTGAGCAAGAGATTTTGGGCTTTCTGAAGCTACCCTTCGATGTGCAGCAAAAAATGGTGGTTCCTCCAAATGTTGTGTAGAGTTATTACCCAGGTTCGCTGACCCGTACAGGTCACCTGACTTGACGGGGCACAGGTCGAAAATTACTTTAACCTGAGTCAAACGGATCAGAATTCAAAACATGCAAAAACCTACTATAATGCTACTGTATATTATGCAATTACCTAATATAAGAAGATATTATAAGTATATACTACATAAATAGTAAGCTTTTTACTTATGTTGTCTGATTCATACAAGTCAGGACACATATTTCCGAAGTAAAAAATGAACGAACTCAAATCACAAGCAAGGTTTAGTTTAAATATTCGAAATACAGATTTTAACAGCTCTAATTAAGAGTCATTACATCAACTTTTATGAATTTCTGTTTGACCCATTAACCTGAGTTAACAACCTGAGTCAGATCCTGACCTACCCGAGTTAGTATTTTTTGACCCGGGTAAGAATTCGAATAAGAATTTTAGAATTGTACTCTACGAGCCAAAGTGTAAGCATAAAAACCCATAACTAGCATTATATTACAAACTTTAATCAAAAGTATTAAACATGAATTATTTATAAATTAAAATGTAGATATAAGCAATTCTACTTCTGAATTATATTTTTAACTATTTTCAAAATCAGAAAACTTTTAATTAATTATTATAACCAAGAGTTTGCTTATAACATTATATATATTGAGTATATAAGTTATATTTAGAACAAATACAAAAACACAAACAAGAATACTAAGATACTAGTTTTTCTAACAATATTCTCCAAGTACTTGCATTTAATAATTTATATAAATATTGCTTTTTTGCTTACAATTATTATTATTTATACTATAGTTTTTGAAATTAGTATTAATATAAATTTGCTGCAACCTTTTACACTAGAAAATAGTTATAGCAGAACTCTAGGCAATCTATAAATAGTTAAGATTTTTAAAAAATCTTAATAAATTATTAAAAAAATAATAATTTACAGAAACAATACTAAAATGCATTTATAGTATTAAACACCATAATTAGCTATATCTCAAAAATGTAATAGCTAACATTTTTTAAGAATACTAAGTAAAAATATTTAGAATCCCAAAAACCTTATACTAACTAAAATTTGAACCTTTATATTTAACTTTTATTTTATTTTAAAATTGTACTCTAACTCTAAATTTTAGTTAAAAACTTATTAATACTATAAACACTATGGTGTATTTTATATTATTTGTATAGAAAAATAGTTAAAAATAAGTATATATATTACTAAATATAAAAAAAAACTATAAAAAATAACCCAAAATAAACAATGTCAAATAGTGATTTATTTACAAATAGCTCAAAGTCTTGTCATAGCTTATCTTAATTTAACTATATATTTTGACTATATCTTAATTCAAGTTTTAATTAAAAATATTATTTTTAATTACAAATATACTTCTATTAATAGCTCTAATCAAATAATAATAATTATTTTAATTAATTATATTAAATATACTTTTGTCTTTTATTTGCTTTTAAACTTTTTTTTTAATATTTTTAACAAATATATTGAAAACTCTAATTATTTTCTTAGCTTATATTATATTGCTAATATTAATCAAATATTAAAAAATTTTGATTTACAGTATTTATACTCTCTATATTACAAAGTAAGTTAATTATTTATATCTTAGCACTTTATTTAAAAAAAGCTTTATTAAAACTTGAACTCTGTAGCTTATTAATTAAGCTCTTAACTTCTACAGATAAGATCAATAGTTTAAGTCAGACTATAGACAAATTAATATTTGTTTCTATAACCTTCAGAGCCAAATTAAATATAAAGCCTTGTAGTCAAGTTTAAGTATAGTATATAACTAAAATAGAAATTTTTAGAAAAAAATTCAAAATATAAAGTAGTTTAGTAGAAAATATAATTAACTTAGTAAGAATTGTCACAGATTAAAATGAAATCTGATTAAAATAAAATTTTTATGTTTTTTAAGAAAAATTTAAAATTTTTTGAAGAATATTTTTGGAGTTCTTTTTAGTATTAAAGGTAGAGTTTAGAGTTAGGTTTATTAATAAATAAGGGAAGTGTCATTTATCACCTGATTTTTTGTAAATAATAAATATTCCTCTCTCCCTTACATGATAAAATTTATGAGTTCCAATCATTTTCATTACATTTATTTCTAACAATAATAAAACTGATTAATCATATACCAATGTATATGATACTTTGTTAGGAAACCCCATTCTAAAATAATCAGATGATAAATAACACTTCCCTAAGTATATATGGATTTTATAGACTCTAGAGGTGGGTATAAGAGGTCTTCAGTTTCATTTTGATCAGATTTCATTTTAATTTGCGACAAGAATTAAAGTATATTAAAATAAAATACTATAAATATGCACTATTATTTTTCTAATACAAATAGTTATAATTATATATATTATTAAAATTATTTTGAAGTCTAAAACCTAAAAATAAAATTGTTTTTGATCTATTTTATTTAAAAGACAAAATTTTTAATACTTTTTTTGAAAAAATAAAAATATAAAGAATA